TGAAAATATATCTCTGTCTCTCTCACTCTAGCCCTAAAGGAGAGGGCTTTTGCGTTTCTTCCTGAGTTTCTTCTCCACACGTGTAAACGATATTTCTTTCTCTTTTTATGTTGTTGATTGGTTCCCAAAATATATTCTTGTTATTTTCATTTTCTACATATAAATATGAATTATAGTTGCACAAAAAAAATAAAATTATTTATACAGCCGACAAGGAAAAATTCTTACGAAGTTTTCAATTTGGTAATCTGTGTTTAAGTGGTGATCTATGAAGTATGAATTTCTTGATCATATAAATCTTTTAAGAAATAATCAGAATGAGATTTACTTTTTATAAAACAATTAAATGAGTTGTGATTATAGCATAGAATCATATTATTTTTCTTCTCTTTTTTTGCCTTTTCCTAATATTTATTCAAAAGGAATATGTCAGCTCCATTTTTTATTCTTTAAAAATCCAAAGTTGCTTTCTTTTACAATGTCCAGCATCTATATTTTGAAAAGAAAAATGCTATAGTTTGATTAGTAAATTTATAGATTCATGATTGGAAATAATATATGAAACAAAATAAAATTTGACATGAAAGCAATGTGATTGTGCCATAAAACTACTCACATTTTTAACCAACTTTCTTACAAAATCAAAACTGAAATGTCATAATCACTAAAAAGATAATTAGGGATTGGATACAATCTTTGGTTTACAAATGACTAATGAGAAAGAAGAAATTATTACATTATCTGCAATTTTTTTTTTATCAAACCGATTAGTGTCATCATCTTAGACTCCAAACACTAGGAGGAAAAGTTCAAAGATACAATACCAAATTTTGTTAACGCATCGGCTAAAACGAGCGAGGAATAAAAACAAAAGAGATAGAAGTGAAATCTTCCCTAATCCGACGAATGTCATGAAGAAGAGTTTCAACTCATTGACCACACCATTCGAATTGATAAGTGTCACCAAAGAGAGGGAGTCCGAGAAACAGTTAATTACTCGATACCATGCCGTCCTAGCTGCAATTAAGGCAGTTTTAAGAGCTATAGCCTCTGCGATTAAAGCTGAGGCCACGTTTGATCTGGATAAAGAAGATTGGGCTATTGTCTTCAAGCTTGCATCCTTGAAACACCAACCCGCTCCACAAACAGTGAATTGCTTGTGAGGCTAGCATCAAAGACCGAGAAGCCGCTTTTAATGGCCTGCCCTTTACTATCGGAGCTTGCGCCTCCTGCCATAGGCGAGCTTCCTTGATCGATCTTAGCCAGACTTCTTCGGCTGAGACACGCCTATCGTCAAACAATAATTGGTTCCTAGTCTTCCATAAGTTCCAAATAAGCCATGGAAACAGAGGAGTATCGGATAAGCTCGTAGGAGGGAGGTTGATGTGTCGCCGGGCAGCCTCTAGGAATTGGTTGATGGTGAGTCGGACATTAAGGTCCGGTTTGAACAGAACCGATGCCAAGTCCCACACCTTCGCTGCAAAAGAACAAAACAGAATGATATGCACTTCATCTTCCATCGCATCACAAAATTTGCACTGAATAACATCAGATATGCCCCGGACCATTAAGTTACTCCCCACCGCCATCGCTTTATTCTTAAGTTTCCAGAGGAAAATCTTAAGTTTAGGAGCGGCTTTAACTTTCCATACACATACTTTCCAATCAAAGGACTCAACTATGTTCGGTTCTTTATTGATTTTGGCAATAGCATAACCTGATTTTGTAGGATAACTCCCTGATTTGACAGGTAACCAAGCAATCGAATCTTCCATAGGGTAAGTGCTGAGTTCGATACTTGTGATAAAATCCTCATAGTGAGGTAAATAGCTTCGGATAGCATCTAAATTTTCCAGGTGTTAGAGCATGTATGAATCAAATCCTCCACTCGCAAATTAATTGCGTTTAGACGAAGGGGGCCATAAGGACGCATCGGTGACAATGACGAAAGCCACGTATCATCCCAAACCTTTATATTTCTTCCATTCCCCACTAACCAACCAATCCCTTGTTTTAATACCTCACGTCCGGCCAATATTCCAATCCAACCGTGAGAAGCGTTAGAAGAGGGCAGGCCATCCAGGAAGGTAGTGGAAGGGAAGTATTTACTTTTAAGCAATCTAGCCAATAAGGACTGCGATTCTACCATA